TTTGTTTGTTTGTTTTTTGACAGGATGTCTCTGTGTAGCCCTGGTTAACCTGGAACTCATTCTATAGACCAGGCTGGCCTCAAACTCAGCGATCCACCTGCCTCTACATTGGGATTAAAGGCGTGTGCTACCCGGCTTATATTGCTATCTTTTACCATGAAATATTTTTATTTGATGAGTGAGCTAAATAACACATGATTTTACTTGTCTTAAAAACCATCCAAGAATAGGGGATATGGATATCAGGAATGGCTAATATGTAGAACTGAATGGTATTGTAAAATAAAATAAAATAAAATAAAATAAAATAAAATAAAATAAAATAAAATAAAATAAATATAAAAAAAACCCATCCAAATAGTAAGTATGCATAACTATACACTAAATGAGAATGTGTGTACACAAGGAGGAAAACAACAGATTACCTATGCACTGGGGTGCTGGGTCACTCCATTTCCCTTGGCCATTATCCACGTTACAATAAATGGAACTCTTTCCAAGCAGGACGAAGCCTTTGTCACACACGTAGGTGACAGCGTGTCTATATGCATAAGTATCACTTTCCTCTTTAATACGTCCATTCTCGATTTGTGGTGGATCTGGACACAAAATTTCTTAAAAAGAATCAAAATATCTTTTTAAATAAAGAAAAACTGATACTGTATTTTTATAAATAAGACTAAAACATGTTAAAAAAATTTTTGAAACAATAAAAATCAACCATTTTTTTCTGAGCTTGGCTTTACTAAACAAGGGATGCTGACAGATGCCTATTACAATTGTTCTCGACCTGCGGGCGGCGGCGCAAGGGCTACATTTTCACCTCTAGGGTAAGGGGCTTTAAGGGAGACTGAGTCACTGAGACCTGATACAGGACAGAAATTACTATCAGCTGAATTAAAAATAAATACATAATAAATAAAGTGCAAGCCCTGTTGTGATGTCATGCTGTAAAAAGAGCTGACAGCTACCCTAACAGCACGATCAATGGGTTTCACGTTCCTCAGCACCATTAAGTCAATCAGGAAAACAGAATTCCGTGTGCACATCAAAGTAAGCTGATTTAGAAGTATAGAAGCAGGCATAGAATACTAGCAAATTCATGACACATTTTAAATTAAGCAAGAACCACCCACTGGACCAATTTCCTGAACACACATTAAAGAAGTTGGGCTTAGCGGTGTGCACTCGGGGAGGCTGTGAGGTAGAAGAGACAGGCAGGTCCCTGGGACTGACTGATGGCTAGGTTACTCAAATCAAGCAACCCCAGGTCAGTCAGACACAGTCTCAAAAACCCAAGATTCACAGCTCCTGATGAGTCACACCTGAAGTTGTCCTCTGCACCGTACGTGTGCGCGCGCGCGCATGTGAATATCTTAAATGTGCATCTGTAACTACATACATACAAACAGAAATCGGGGAGGAGGAGACGATCACAAGCTAGCTAGGCCTGGTGGCTCCTGACTGCGGTCCCAGAACCTAAGAGGCTGGAACACGATGCCTGTTGCCACAAGTCTGAGACCGACTTGTGCTACAGTTAGATCCTGACTCAATAGGAACCAAAAACCTTATATTAACGCATGATAAAGAATACAGCAACATGCAGGCAATTTGCATGGGCAGCGCAGTAAATAAGGAGGTAAAACCTGAGTGCAGAAAAGCAGAGAGACAGCGTTAGCCTTGAACACCCATTAGGAGCTTAGATCTGTAAGTGTTCAGACATACTAACAAGTGTCAAGAAGGAAAAGACATGGCACGTCTGTGTTTCTGAAGCATCACCCTGGGCAGACTATGAGTGAAATAGTAACCAAGTACAAGGAAAAAACATTCTCTATCACCCTGGAATTCCACCTACTGAGGTTCCTACACAGACCTCAGTATGCACTCAGTATTCAGAGGGTATGCACTGCCCTACTGTGGGTTTCTCGTATCCGCTGAAGGTATCGATGAGGCCCAGTGGGTGTGTTCAGTAACACCTGTCCTACCACCCCTCCCTCCATTATAGGACATACTCAAACATCAAGAATTAATTCCTTGTGCCGGCTCCTCTCCTGGGTTCTTTCTGCTAGCCCATGTTCTTGAGGGCGGTCTCTGCCGGTAGTATACTCACTTCTAATCTCAAGGACAATGAAGTCAGCATTAAGTGTCACGGGAGACATGGCTTGAATACATAGGATTTGCTACATTCTTACGTGTGCCAACGGATCCTCACGGTAATGTAAGAAAGGGGACAGTGGTTTGGGGGCCAAGGGCCATTTTTTTATAGTCAAACTTTGGCGTTAGAAATGTTAGAAGTAGCCCTTAGGGCAAGAGTCAAGATGGAGAAAAATAAACTAGAAGTAACACAGACGGGCGTAAAGCATGTGGACGTGGTAAAGAAAAATAACTCAGAGACGCTAGACCAAAGAGAGAGGTCTGGGAAGACAGTCATAGGAGAGAAGCATTGATTAAAGGTGAGCAGATGTCAGGGGCCTGGGGAGACAGTCATAGGAGAGAAGCATTGATTAAAGGTGAGCAGGTACCATTAGTCAACTGAATTTAATTTAAAAAAATGAAGCAACCACAGTAAGATAGGAAAAAGCGGAGCTCCTGAGAGTGAGGCTTAATTCAGAGTCAAGACCTCCCTGCGTTGGTGAGTAACTGAAGTCGATCCTTGACTGTGCCCATCATCCCTCAGTCATTTCCCTCTGTGATCAGAGCCACACTGGAGACCAGGGCACCCTCGCTCATCGGTGTACCGAGCAAGGCTGCACACCTGAAGAGAACCAGCTCACCAGCAAATAATTCACCTTCCATCAACTGTGGAGAGCTACACTTCAGAGGACTCAATATTCTTGAAGGGGCTGGCCACTGGGAGTTGGGCCAGGCTCCAGCAAGTCTACAGGCAACACAAATTGCACTTGGTGTTCGGTTGGGGTGGGGGGGAGACTGCAGGGGTGGGAGGGTGGACCTGGGAAGAATGGGAAGTGAGTGTGATCGGAATCCCATTGCATGAAATTCCCAAATAATTAACCAAAATATTATGTTGGGGGATAAAAAAGAATTTGCTTTCCACTTTTTGTTTTGGTGATGTCAAAACAACAACAACAGCAAAAAGTTAATGTAGAAGTCAAAACTAGATTCTCACACTTGGGGTTACAGGAAGAGGTCGTAACACTGGATTGCTCAGGTACAAGGGATTTTCCTGGGGAATGTGGCTATCAGCAGCTGCTGATGGAGAGGCACTGAGAGCCAAGAAAACAAGGGTGTTCACCACAAAGAGGAAAAAGAAAATGTTCTGTTGCTTAGTGCAGCACAAACAGGAAGCGGGTCTTTTGCAAACACTTCTGCATTAGGATACATTCCTGATGGGCACTTTTCTGTGAACCTAAAGGCAACATCTCCAGGTAAAAATACTAGCTTCCGACTGGGAAATCGCCTACCCAGGCTTTAGGCCAGGTTGCCTGAGCCAACAAACTGTGTATCCCAGCTCTTGCTTCAGCCTCATCTTTGGTGTCATTACAAGACCTTTTACCATGAGTGGGAACAGAATCATGGTCGTGAGTAGAAATGATTCAAATGTTTAAATAGGCCTAAGAAGAAAATGGAAATAGTGGGTTTAGCAGGGTGGGCCCGTGTGATGGGTGTGGGCTCCTTGACAGCAGGTTTCCTGAGTTTTTTCACATCAACTGATTCCACCCATTGGCTACCAGAGTGTCAGTCCACAAAGGAGTGACTTTTCAACTTTCCTCCTCCTAGTAACACACACACACACACACACACACACACACACACGGACTTAGCATTAATTTTTTGACATTAGGGTTTTTAGAAGCCACTTGAGGAAGTTGGAAATTAAGTATCAAAAGAATGAAAGATGGAATAAAGTCTACATTTTAACATGACTAGGATTTAGTGAGACACAGTGGCCTTAGCATACATTAGGACAAAAAAATCTGTATCTAACACACAAACAAATAAACTTCATGCATTTTACTTCTCTCCATTTTTAAAGGGAGCCATGTTTCTAACGGACCTAAATTTGACTGGATATATTCATTTATGATATTATTTCTACGTTGTGTTTTCTCTTTCAGAAGTTGAGATTCTCAAGTGTAAGAATGGTTTATCACACAACCTTATTCCTTAAATGATAAAAACATCTTACCTTAAAACCTTCAGGGTAATTTCTCAGCTGATAACCTACTCTAAAAAGAGGCAGGTAGGCAACACTGGATCTTAGAGAAAGAACATGTTTGCAGTAAAAGACCTATATTAAATGCCTTCCAACGACACTTATTTTAGGAAATGGAATCAACCATGGAGACTCTGAGGGATACTGCCTTCCATAAAACCGGGAGATCTCCTGCTTCTCTGATTATTAGAAGGAATGATTGGACAGCAAATGACCAAGTATAATGTAAACCAAAGTCAGTCCTTAATTCTCAATTAAAGTATTCTAGAGTTAAAGACATTACTGCTAAGAGCCAGCTTTAAGAGTCCTCCCATAGCTGATAAATTAAGAAGTTTGTCATTAGTAGAGACACAGTGAAAAGTTGGGGCACCACAAATATAGACTGTGGATAGTTCTTAAATGAGAAATAATAGAGTTCACTGCTCCTTTGGCCCCACGGTGTGAGGACTTGGGATTTTTCAAACAGGAAACATACCTATGCACTCGGGAAATTCATCACTCCACGCGACGGTTTTTCCGGAAAGAGAGCAGAAGCTAGAGGTTGAGCCAACCAGCCTGTACCTAAAGGACAAGGGAAGGCTACTGCATTCAGATACTTAAGTCTTGGCTTTTTAATTCTCCAAAACATCATCTTAAAACACTGACTCTACCAGAAGATGGAGACAAAAATGACAGTTGATAAACAGATCTATTGAAATTTAAAAGAAAATCATTTAGTTCACAGAAATTATACTGAAATGGCAAGACTTTCAGACACGCAAAATGCTTCATTCGCTGACTGTATAGAAAAATACATAAATGAAGAAAACGTTTTAAAATCATGTTTGATGAAATCTCTTATTCTAGGTTCTAAAAGAACAGGCTTCATGAACAACAGAGTGCATTTATATTTAAAGGGTTCACAGTGTAGCATGGCTAAGAGTTTACACTAATGTGAACTCTTGACCCAACTCAATCTCTGTTTAATAAAGGTGGCGGCAAAGTGCTACTATTTATTTCTCTGTTTTAAAGTTTGAAATGCATTTGGTTTCATTTAGTTTTTATGAAAACTTTCTGTGAACTTTATGCATGCCTATAAGATGTTCTGATCAAATCCACCCCCACTTCCTCTTTTCCAACTCCTCCTCTAACCCTCTCCCTCCCCTCCCCCCTTCTTTCCCAGTTCCATTTGCTCTTGTTGGAAACCCACTAAACCCACTCAGTACTGCCTAGTTCTCCGTTATAAAGTGGGGATGGAGGGCGGTGACCTATCTTGGAAGTAGAAAGAAAACGAACAGAAGTTTCCCACTGTCTGAGAGGCTGATGGCACTTAATTACAGAATTTCCTTGTTCTACCTGAAAAACTAAAAATGCCCTAGGACCTTCTATTAGAACACTTTCACACTAGGCATATTTTAGCCCATGACCTAACAGTTTGTCTGCACACAGAAAAACTCAGATGCAAATTATTTTTTAAATTAATTTAAATTTAAATGAATTGAAAGTTTAAAACTGGTTTGATTTTTAACACTTTAAGGGTTGTTACTTTGGTATTGTCAACATATTTCAATTGTTTCTTCACTAATCATATTTAGAATTACATACGTATTGGAACCTAATAATCTAGAGGTATTAGAAGTATAAAAATCTTCCTTTCCTGGCCCACATTACTAAATTTAACTACAATAAGCTCACGACAAAGATTCTTTGGAAAGAGGTATTATGTTTTTTTAACTTTTTTCAATAGCATATAGAAAATAGCTTTCATTCTGAGATTTACATACATGTGCATCACCTTCACGCCCACTCTCATTATGAGGGATTTTTTGGTACTAACCAGTGAACACAGGTCACAAATCTATCAGTATCCACTGAACTCCTAATTTGTTTTGTCATTAATTAAATACAGAGCTTTTAGTGTGATGAAACTTACCCTGTGTCGCATGAGAAGCGTATTTCTGAACCAAATGATATGTCGGTTACTATGGTGATATGACCATTTTTTATTTCTCCAGGATTAGGACATACTTTTTCTAAAAAATAAAAAAAAGGAATATCAATTTTTTTCATTCAATTTCCAGACACGATCAAAAAAATAAACAGAACACAATTCTAACTGTACTGCATATGTTAAAAGGTGGTAATGGTAATCATATGTGCATTTAAGGTGAGCGCGCGCGCTTGCACACACACACACACACACACACACACACACACACACGCTCACGCACACACACACACATACACTATGTTGAAAATGCATGGGGAAGAGGAGGTTTTTAAGGGAGAGGAAATGAGAAAAATTAATGGGCCACATTAACAAGACAGCAAAAAGCGAAGATGACCTGGGGTCAGGGGTCAGCAAGGAGGCGATGAGTAGAGCACTCCCCTGAGTGAATAAGAGCAAAGCAAAATGGCAATCTTACCAAAAGCAATCTACAGATTCAATGCAATCCCCATCAAAATCCCAACACAATTCTTCA